GCACGCCAAGCCAAGTTTCCCATTTTTCCCAGCGCCACAGTGCCAGCGCATTCAACACAGCGAGCAGAAACTTTCCTCCTTCTTGTCCTTGTCGCTCTCCAATCGACCATCGCCATCGCTCTTGGTGCACCATTTTCAACCTCAAGTGACCACCCCCACATCGCTGTGGCTAAACATGACCCCTTTCGCAATGCTCGACCACTTTCACCCCCGCTCCCGCCGTCTCGAGTGCTCCATTATTCTCCTCTTCTCAACCCTCTCACCCTCTCGCTCACAGCACACTCGTCCGAAGCCGTGCCTCTGCTCCTACCCCCACCTAGTAACATACCGCCAGCGCCGAAAGGCGACACGTATTACCTCCCGTGGGAACCCAGCTACACCCTCCTCGTCCTGTGTGTCGCCGTCGTGATCAACTTGATCTACATCTTTGCATGGTTCACCGATTGGGGCCGCTCCTGTCCCGATGAGCTTCTTCGGCCCTTGTTCTTGCCAGACAGCCAAGTCTCTCCGCTGACTGCACCGCGCTCGACAAGGGCGTAGGACGCAAAGCAGCGTGACACGGAATGGTGTGTCCTCCTTCGTCGAAGGCACCATTTCTTGTCACAACCGGTGAGGCTCGGTTCCGTCGAGCACAGAGTCTGGGCCACGCACCGTCATGCTCGTGTGCATAATGCCTATGCATATTTTTTTTGGTGCCTGTCTCGTATTTTGTACACGGTCGTTACGAATATGCAGAGAGGAGCAAAAGAGGAGAAGAATGTCGGGGGTGACGCTAGCTTACTCTTTGCACTATTGTACAGTATTGTTCCTTATTTGGGGCTTGTTTCAGAACGGATAACTGTCAACGCATTGGCGAGGTAGGGCGGGGCTGGTAGAAGGTGCAGTATTTAGAAGCGGATGACTCGCGGTCCGATTCGGCACACCCAGGCATAAAAACAAGGGAGCTTCCACGATCAGTACGGGAAATGCACGAATTCCCTCAGTAATCGTGATATTTCCCTAATACTGTAACAAGGGAGATTTTACGATCAGTAAGGGAAATGACATTTCCCTAAGAGCATCTCCACCGCGCAGGCAAATTGTGGCCATTTCTAAAATATGGCGACTCAGGCTTGAGTTTGGTCTCCACCGCGCAAATCTGCACACAAATCTGTTTCACAAATCGTATGATAAATAGGATTTGTGCCTTGACGGCACACATATTTTTTGATTTTGTGGCGCGTCACGTCACAAATCCCATTTTTTGGCAACACTCTTCTGCTTGAACGGGCTGATTTTTTGTTACTTTTAGACGCCGAAACAGCAAGAACGCGGGAAGCCACGGGTACACCTGACCCGCCCAAAACGTCTGAGCATGCCAAATGCGCAGTGGACGGTCTATGCTCGCACTGCACATGCCCGCATCCACCC